CTCGTTTCTTCTAGTGTAAACAAGACGTCCTGTTGATACCTTTTTCGATTGTCGCTTTTGGTCTTGTTCATTGAAACTACAGTAGTAACTTGTGTCGCTTTCTATCCTGTAGAAAAACGCACGCCTCTGGGAGTACGGAAGGGTTCATGCAAACTGGTGTACTAAGGCTGGAGATACAAAAAAAACGTTATTGGCATCAATTGATTACAATTAAAGTACTAAACTTCGAGATCCCAATATCGTTGACAGTGTAGTGTGAGGTGACTATGCAAGCCTTGCTCACATTGTATTGAGCTTTTGCAGAGGACTCGCCCAGCTGGTACGCTACTCATGGAGTCCATGAGTAGTCAGGAGTTAAGCAACCGTCCATAAAATCTATAGAAGAGAACAATCTGTAGAAGACGCTAGGCATGAGGGATGTCAGAGCTCTCGCTCTGTCATCCTCACTTTTGAATCTACTCGGCGACCAACACTTTAGGAAGTGCCAGCTTCCCTATCACTGTGTTAACGGTTTTAGTAGCGGAACGCGTTACAAAGTCGACTTTAGTGAAAAGCGTTTCACTATAAAATATGGAGACAAGATCAACCAAGGATCGGCGCAAGATCAAGAAAGCGGCATCGCGCACCCCATCTTCACGCCGGTGCTTGCCCCTGAGATTACGTCGACCTCCCATGCTGCTTTGGTCAAGTGGCGAAAGAAGCGAACTGTTTACGAGGACATCATGCGGGCCCGTTGCCAGACTTCCGGAGAAGACTTTGATGCAGTAACAAGGTCTGTGAAGGACTCTTTTGACCGGAAGCTGCTGGAGACCTGGTGTCGACTTCGCTGGCAAATCGCAGTGGATGATGTCGATGACGACAGACTGCGCACGGAGATTGATGGCATTATCAACTCTGTCAATAACCACTTTACCCGACGTGCAAGCCTTGTTCAAGAAAGATTTTCATCTCAACTGGAAGTAGAGTGACGTTAGCGAGCGGGTGCTACAATATTTCATCTCTTGCGAGCACATCATTGAGGAACATGGACTGCATGCTTGCTTTGAGTCAGAAGCTGGCTTGAAGGAGAAGTGTAGCTTGCTGATCAACAGTATCGCGCCTGAAGCTCTGAAGGAGGAGGTGAAGAACGCCTTGCGTTATCAATCCCCTGGGGCTAAGTCTGATGAATATCAACTGCATAATCTGATACTGGAGAAGGCCTTGGAACAAGACAGAGAATTCCGCCGCTCGAAGCGCAAGCGGGGTTCGGATGATGTGCAATTGCCGCGTCTATCTCAAAAACGTGATGAAATAAAGAGCAAGCGCAGAATTGACTCGGAGCGTGATAGTAGTGGGAATAAAACTGCTTCACACAAGGCAGAGACCACTTCTGGAAAACAACCACGCGCAGACACAAAAAAAGAAATTACCTGCTGTTCCAGACAAAGGGTGCTTGTAGTGTGTAGGTCCACACTGGGTATCCAAGTGTCCTAAAACGCCACTGAAGCTGAGAAGAAGGACCTGCCTAAACAATTTTTACAAGAGCAAGGGCAAGACATCTGATGTAGCGGGTATGAAGCGACTTCGTGAAGACAAGTGAAATGAGGCGGGCACTATTCTGTTGAATGGTGTCCTCCGAAAGCCATACTGTGCAGACACTGGGTCAGACCGATGCCTTATCAGTACCAAGACCTTGGAGGAGCTGAATGCAGTAATGGAAAATGATATTTTGATCAAAGAACTGGAAAATCCGATTAAGGGCGTACGGCCCTTAATCGCGTACAATTGGGGGGGGGGGGGGGGGGGCATTGGGTTGAGGCTGTTAGAGCTGTAGATCTGGCCATTCAAATTGGTACAGCCGCTGGAATCGTGGAACCCCAGAAATTGGTCGAGTGTTTATTGACGAAGAATTCATCGTAGGCCAGGACTTACTGAAGTCCTTGGGGATCGACGTTAACAGATTGCTCGAGCAGCTTGCCCAGCCGCAAGTTGACGACGAAGTTGATCCTTACGATAATTTCGAA